TTTTTTTTTTTTTTTTTTTCCTTCTGCCCTGTGGTAAAATTATTATTTTTTTTATTATTTTTATGCCAATAAAGACTTATTTTCCCCATGTCCTTTTCATTTTGAACAGTTAGTTACCTTAAATAAGAACTTGAGACCTGAGATTGAATAGACAGGATTTAAAATGGAAATTACTCTGTAACCTAAGATCAATTAAAGGCAGTTTTCAAACTACCTGTATGAACAGTGAGAACAAATTGCTTGCCTAATGCAAGTACTTGTCTGTGTTACTTGTCCTTTTTACTTATTTGCTAGTAGTGACAATATAGTTGGTTAGAAGGAAGTGATAAGCTTAACAAGATGCTTGAAACCTCATCCTTGTCATGAAAACATTTCTCAAGTACTCAGTTATATGCAATGACACCTTAACTACCTGTAATTTTCCAGTCAATGAACCCATGTACCAGGAGTGCACAATAAAAAATTTATTTTAAATTACAGAGTTGAAACAACTTTGTCATGTTCCTGAGTGCCTCATCCAAATCAACCATTCTCCGTTTGTGCATTTAGGTATAAATCTTCTAGATAAAAATGTATATTAAAATGAAAAAATTTAAATTTTTGCTTAATCAAGTTTCAGTTACTTTCATTTTATAAATTACTTTCATTTTATAAATAACTTAAATGTTGCCCTATAACACGTGCATGCAACTTCATTGTTCCATTTTTTTTTTACTTGATTACATTGTGAAGCATTTTCAAGGTAAGAAAACCAGAACAGATATCTTAAGGAAAGCATTTTTTAAAACAGGTTGTAAATGTTGTAATTTTTTAGGTGACTTTTTCTTCTTTTAGATTTGATATCTAAAAGGTAAAGAGCTGTCTTAGTTTGATAAAGCAAATACATTTTCTGTATACATTTTCAGAAATTTGGGAATAATGGTTTGTAAAAAATCTCTCAACAAAAATGCTTCCACGTTTAAATATTTGTGATTTACATTGGGTTGGTTTCTAGTGAACACTAATAAACGAGAAGCTTGCAATTTTGTAATTTTTTAAAAAAAGAATCTGTATATTTCTCTCAGCTCTGTTTCAAGACAAATCAAAATTTTTACCCTGTTACAAAAACACTTTTAATTAATTTTACCCTTTATTGTGCCCAGGAGTGATTAGTTACCTTGACTGAAAAGGCTTTTCATTTTTTATCCCAACCTTAACATTTCTATGACATACAAAGTTATTAGTATTGAATTGATGTTTAAAAGTGCCATTAATTCATTTACCCCAAATGTTCATTAACAATGTAAATGTATGCTGATGTTCTATGAGACAAGGAAGTGACTAATGACTCTTCGCACTAACAACACTTAAAATGAATAGAAACTTTAGATAGCTAATCTTGAAGTAATCAAGACCCTCATTCAGCTTGGCATCTCTGTATGCTCTAAAACAGCTGTCAACTGTTAAAAATATATACACAACACACACATACGCACATGCAAAGATAAGGATATGTAAATACATGGTTCCCCAAGTCATAAAGGTTACCAACTATGGTACATTTCTTACGTTCAATCTATGTAAATATTTTATATAAAGCATCTATTTCATCTTCATAGTGTTTTTTTACTGTGAAACACATACTGCATTTTAATTTGGTACCATATGTATCCAGCATCAATCTTTGACGTTTTATTTAATTTTAAGTATTTTTAGGGGTGGGGGAGGTGTGATCTTGGATATCAAAGCATGAACTTTTCTTTGCTCACCCAATCTCACTCAGAAGTTAATTTTAAGGAGGCAAGCATTGCTTCCAATGTAAGCATTTGGACTCCTAGAATGTGTCAGATATTGAATGGAGACTTCTAACAAAACATTACCGTTCATCCAGATTGCCATTTTTTCATTAAAATGTCTGTATTCCTCCCCTCAACCAGAAATGTTTTTACAGTAATATAGATGTGTCATATCTGTACAATATGTGAATGTGTCATATGTACCCTTGTTTTCAAAGGAAGAATTGAAAGTTATGCTTAAAAATACCAGAGTACCTTGTGGTGTGACACAAGCTTGACACTTTCCTGAATAGGTAGAAGGTGTTTTAATATCGTAGAAAAAATATAGCATCTCATGAAAAAGTGTCACCAGATGAATTTAGAATAGGAATTAATCAAGAAATAGCATTGTGAGGTTTAGTTATTCCAATGGTTAATTGTCCTCCCAAAAATACTTTGAGATTTCATCTTAGAAATCAGCCAGAAATTATGGACTTGATACAGGATTCACTTTGTGAAACTTTATGGCTATTATTATATAAGGGACCAAACTAGATGACTAATAGTACCTACAGGTCCTGAAATCTATGAAACAAATAATTTTTCAATGAAAGTCTAAATTATCCTACAAATACATTCTGTCTTCAGGTGTAATTATCCACGTCACTTTTTGAACACATTTTTTTATCGCTGATTTATATGTTGTACAGCTAATAGATCCCGAAATGGAGAAACAATTTCTCTGTTTGCTGTTTTACTGCTTTACTATATTACTGGTTATCAATATAATATTTAACATAAATATATATGCTCAGTTATAATGGAAAATGAACCCAGCTATATGGCTTACATAATACTATGTGTAAGATTACTAGAAAAATATATCACTAAAGAACTTTTTTAGGCATCTTTGTTGGATGTTATAGAAATTGACAAAAGGTGCAGCATAGCTTTTAGAGATGCCCTGTAGAATATTATGAAATATCAGGCCATCTGTGTTGTTCTTTGGAGCTGTGGTACATGGTTAGAGTATTGTCTTAGAGGCTAAATGGTAGAAGTTCTCATAAAGATGAGAAAATACAAATAAGGCAGATCATTGGTAAATGTATTTTTACCATTTATAGCTCAGCAATTAAAAAACCAAAAGAAAAGAAACCAGGTTTGAGAAAATGCAAGAAATACTAAATTTGGGGCATGATGTATACAAAATATATTTTATATAGTCACCTTACTTTTTTCCCCTCAGATTTAAAAATACAGCAAGCCATAAAAAATCATAAGGATAGGATGTTGGGGCCTTCAACCATAATAAAATGTATTGAGTGCATGCTTATTAACAAGTTACAATATTCAAGGCATGAATAAACCAGTAAAAGGAAACAGTTTATTGTTAGTTTTGTTTTTAAAAGAGCTGTAGGATCTTTAGGTGATTATGCTACTGCTACTGCTACTACTTTGTAGAAATCTTGATTCTCACATATATATAGGGATCTACCCTATTTGCGATTTTCATGTTTTTCACAGAAAAGGAAAAAAAAGTGATTTCTGTGAACCTCATGAAAATGGCGATTTGATATGATTTTGGAACAGAATTGTTAGGAAAAAACATACTAAAAATAAAACACTGGCTAATGGGAGTCAACGGTCCTCAGGGCCACTGCAGCCCAGCCTCACAGCCCACCAGGGGGAGGGAGGGAGCAGCCAACATGAATGGTGGCAGCAAAGATGGCGGCTTCCCCCTGTCCCTCACTGCTAATTGGCCAAGAGGACCACCCATTGTCTGCCAATCAGTGGCAAGGAAAATATATACAGATGTAGAAGTGCTTCTTCAATCATCTCTATCACTTTAGTGCGGCAGCTGGAATCTGTTCTTTCTTGACCTGGTGTTTGTTGAATAAGTAGAGTTATGCATCTCACTATGTTCACTATGGACCTCATGGCCAGACCTGTCCCCTCCCAGCAAGGGTTCCTAGCTGCAAGGCAGGAGCTGGCACCCCACAGTGCAGCAGAAACCAGTCCAGCCTGCCCTTCCAGGCAGGACCTGGCTCAGCCCCTCCTTACCTGCAGGACAGCAGAATGTAGCCCAGTTTCCCTTCCCCTGACCAGTACTGGTCACCAGACCCCTTCCACAAGCAATGACCCAGCCTACCCCATCACACCCCAGGCATCAAAAGCTGGCCAACCCCTCCTACCTGTCACTGGTGCCAGCATGACCTGGTCCTGCCCCATCCCAGCCTGCCCCCTATGGCCCAGAAACCAGCCCAGGCCCAGGTCCCCTCACCAGCACACCCCCCTCCAGTGCTGTCAGACCCCTCCTGTCACAAGCTGCAGGGAGCTCAGCTGCAGCTTTCCCTCCCCAGTGCAGCCCCGCCGGCACATCCTGTCCCATTATCATGTGGCGGCTTCCCCACATGCTGCTGCACTTTCCCCCTTCCTGCGCCAGCTGGTCCCAAAAGGCAGGAGGCTCCACTGCCACTTCTGCTGGCCAGTGCTGACCCAGTGAGAAGCCAGCTTCAGCTTCATGTTGCTCCAGATGGGACAGGCCCAGCCAGGTTGGCGCTGGCCAGGAAAAGCAGCGTAAATCTGAAGCCGGCTTCCCACATGCTGCTGGGGACCAGACGAGCCTGACCGAAGCAGCAGGGGCTCAACTGCACCTTCCCCCTACCTGCACCTGTCAGTCTTGAACAGCACACGGCTCTGCCGCCGCTTCTGCTGGCCAGTGCCAACCTGGCTGGGTGTGTCCTGTCACCAGCAGCACGTGGGAAGCCTGCTTTAGCCGTATGCTGCTCTGGATGGGACGGGCCCAGGCGGGTCAGCGC